TGGGACCGGCAATGGCGGAGTTGTTGTTGTTGTTGTTGTTGTTGTTATTATTATTATTATTATTATTATTATAATACCAATGTAACAAAAAATGTTGTAAACACTTTGATTATTATTTCCTAAAATTATTTCTACCCAGACAACACATTGTTTAACTGAAAATGGAATTTTCATGTTATAAAATAAAATAAAAATTATTTAAAAAAATAAATACTCCACATAGGAATTAAAGGGCTGACCAGAGAGTTCCCTGAGCAGCAGCATGAGAGAAGGGAATAATCAAGAAAATATCTCCACTTTGCCTTTGGGAAGCTACTAATGACTTGGGTTGTTTCTACATATAAGCAGATCTCCAGAGAATGAACATTATGCGATTTGAAATATGCTGACTCTAAACCGCTTAGAGGGCTGTAAAGCACTGTGAAGTGGTATAGAAGTCTAAGTGCTATTGCTATTACCTACTGTATACCTCAAAATTCAGTGTGTCCGTTTTGTCTCTCAGTTCAGAAATAATAATAGTGAACCGCATCATCTCTCGGTTGCGAAAACACAGTGCATGTTTGCCCACTTGAACCTTGTTAGTGTGCTCTGTCACTGATGTCCTGGGCAAACGTTTCCTGATTTGGTCCTGTGCCTCAGAATTGTTGGCTAAGGAACTTTATTGGCTTAAGCACCCTTGACTGCTAGCCTCTAGAATTAAGTCAGTGGGCTAATATTTATACCAGCAGATAAAGCACTTGAGTGGTTGAGAAATGGATGTTTCTGTAGCTAATCTAGTGCTGATTTATCTAGTGTGATGTCCTGCTTTTAAGGCATCTACTATGATTTATTATTTTGAAAAATTTCTCTTGTTCGTCTGTTGCTCTAGGTTTATACCAGCTCTGCTCCCCTCAGAATAGGATATCATGTGACTAATTCCTATAGTATGCCAAGCCCTTCCATGACACGGGCTGTGTTGGAAACCAAGGAGCTTCTGGAAATAAATGGCCATGTGGTATGTATACTTATTAGGGGAGAGGGAGGTATGTGTCATAGCAAGGGAGTGTCTGTTTCAGCAGACAACATCAGTAGATGCAAGAGATTTTTGTTGAGGGTGCAAGAGCTGAGAAGGAGAGAGCAAAACTGTTATCTGATTTTTCCCTCCCTCCCTACTAACTCCTCTGCACTGTTAACAATAAAGGTTGGAGTTTCATGCCAAAAGCAACTTGGCTGATTTTGCTTTTGAGTATTTAATTACTGTATTCTGGTTCACTTTGCCTTCATCTCTGTAACTTGCTTATTAATTACTATATTTTTCAGATTATAAGATATACCTGACTATAAGACACACCTAAATTTAGAAGAGGAAAACAACCAAAAAACAGTTTTTGGCCTCCGCACACTACATTTTCAACCCTTTTGGGGACATTTTTTCGGGCCTTTTCCAGTCTTTTTTCTACTCATTTTCGAGACTTTTTTCAGCTCTTTTTTGAGGCTTTCTAGCCTCTTTTGCTGGCTTTTTTGGCCCATTGGGGGCTTTCTTCAGCCCGTTTTTGAGGCTTTTTAAGCCCATTTTTAGGCTTTTAGTCGGTTTTTTCAAAAGGGGTGGTGGTTCAAAAAAAGCCTTGAAAGTGGACTAAAAAAAGCCAAAAAATGGTCGGCAGGTGATGGTGGGGCTTCAGCAATATTTTGTCTATAAGTCACAGACATTTTCACCCCATTTTGGGAGATAAAAAAGTGTGTTTTATAGTCCAAAAAATACAGTATTTATTATGCTAGTTTTGGTGTTCACCATACAGTTTTAAAAAATGATTGGATTTGTTTATCGCAGGAGAGTCTTTATATTTGGGGTGGCCCTCAGATTGTTTCCAAGTGGTAGTTAGTACACAGGACTGCCATTTGTATTGACTTTTAGTAAGAGTTGTGTGAGACTTTCCCCAAATGTAAGACTGAATCACATGCAAATGAATGCATTTTGTTAATTTAGAGCAACATTTTTGAACTTGGCAACTTTAAGAGGCATAGACTTCACTTTTTATTGAAAATGTTCTTTCATTTCTTCTTAGTTGGTCCCCTTTGAGCCACGTCACATGACCCATTTTATGAACTACTTCATTCCTGCGACATTGTTTGGTGATGGTGGTGCCGCTTTGCTGCAGTTTTTGTAAGTATTGAGGAAATAAGAGAAGTAGAAGGCTCATTTTGTGAATGTGATTCCCACCCCCTTTCTTCTGTCTGTTTCCAATTACTTTTCGATAGGTGGAGAGACAGGGCTTTAATTTCTGTGACGCTGAAAGTTGCTATGAATGAAACATTTGGGACTAGTGAACTTCAGCTGTTTGAATCTTCCCTCCCTCCCCCCTGCTTCAAACAACAACACTCCTAACTCTGCTGGAAGCTTTATTTTTATTATAGATCTATGATACTACAGGTCACTTAGTGACCACAATTATAACTGGCAACTCCATTCCTAAGCGCCACCATTGCTAAATGGAAAAATCAGGTTACCATGATGAGCTTATGATGTCTCTTCGCGTTTGTCACACAGCAATCATTAAGGGAGACATCACAAGACTTGCAATTTTACTCCTGCTTTATCTATTAATTCTGCTTGTTGGAAGCCAGTTGTACAACAGTAAATGATGACCACAAGACCGTATGTCCCTGCAATGATCATAACTGCGAGGAGTGGTCGAAAAGTGGGGTTTTTTCCATTCTTCTAAGTTCAAACAGCTGCTACACAAGGCAATTGGTAAATGATGACTGCCTGTATGTGTGTTTGTGAAGGGATGTAAGATTATAAAACAGCTTTCTGAAGTAATACAGACAGGATAGCATGTTTAAATAGAGAAAATTCAGCTGCATTTAATCTTAAATCTCAATATTTAGTGCCTCTAGTACCAATATTCCCTGGATTGTTGTCAGGTTCAAATTAAAAGCTGGGAACAAGATACATAAATATCATACAAGAATTCAAAGTAATGTATCAGGACAACACATCAATATAAGTGAGAGGCTTAAATTGGGCAATTCAAATAGAATATTGCTGCCATTGTAAGAGAATAGTATACACAAATCTGAATGAATGCCAGAATATGAATGCCTAGAGAGAGGAGCGCAGTAGGCGGAAGTCTTGGGCAACATTTTATTTTTTTATTAGATACTGTAGTCCTCAACTTACAACCAGTTGTTTAATGGCTGTTTGAAGTTACAACGGCACTGAAAAAAGTGACTAATGACCACTTTTCACACTTGCAATCTGTAGTCACGTGATCAAAATTTGGACGCTTGGCAACTGGCATGTGTTTATCACAATTGCAGTGTCCTGGGGCCATGTGATCTCCTTTTGTGACCTTCTGACAAACAAAGTCAATAGGAAAGCCAGATTCACTGAACAACCATATTACTAATTTAACAACTGCAGTGATTCAGTTAACAACTGTAGCGAGAAAGGTAGTAAAATATCACAAAATTCACTTACCATATTTTTCGGACTATAAGATGCACTGGATTATAAAACACATCCAAGATTTTGAAGAGGCAAATTTTAAAAAAAAGTTTTTGCACTCTGTAGACCTCTCAAAAATGTGAAAAACGGGCCCATTTTTTCTCAAAAAAAGGGGGGGCATGATTAGCCTTTAGGAGGCTTATAGAATGCTCTTGGGGGCTGGGGGGGGCACAAACATGCAAAAAATGGCTCAGTCATTTTCGTCCTCCCCAGCCCCAGGAGCACTCTGGAAGCTATGCAGAGCCATTTTTGCAAAGGGGGTGAAGTTTTGGGAAGCCAAAAATGCTGTATTCAGTGTATAAGACGCACCCAGATTTTCACCCTCTTTTTTGAGGGGAAAAGGTGCTTCTTATATTCCAAAAAAATACGTTAATTGTCTTGCTTATCAGTGTAAATTTTGGGCTCAATTGTGGTTGTAAGTCAAGGACTACCTGAATACCACTTCTCTCCCAAGTATCCAAGATGACAGTTCTCCTTCCGTATTCTGCTGCCCAACAAAATAGTCCTGTGAGATAAGTTTGGTGAGCAAAAGTGATTGGTCCTTATTTGAGCCATTGAGTTTCTGTGGCTCAAAGTGAATTCACCTCTGCAGAATCTGGGTCTTTTCCCAGGCCAGTTTGGCATCCTAACTATTATATAATATTTACTCTCATTTTAAAAAGGACCTTCGTTAGTAAAAAGAATGAAGAAGACATACATACAGGGACAAATATTTGCCTTTTTTAAAACCACACTACATAGATAATAGATTTTTTAAACAAGAAAAACATGAATTTGAGAAGTGAACTACTTTTATAATAAATTCAGATTTTAAAAAAGCTTTCACTATAACAGAAGCAAGAAATCAGCCCATGTATATATTCAATACCTAAATGTATTCAAATCAGTTTTCACTACAAATGAACAACCTGTTTAAAAGTTTTAACCATTTTATGGGAGTTGTTAGAATGTGCCTTTTAAAAGTAGGATGACATGGAACCAGTAAGAAATAAGAGTCTTTAATGAATTTCAGCGTGTGACAGCTTTATGCAGTTTGTAATTGAAGTCAATTTCTTAGCTAGGGTTGGAACAGAGGTGGTATTCAGCAGGTTCTGACCAGTTCTGGAGAACTGGTAGTGGAAATTTTGAGTAGTTCCTGAGAACCGGTAAATACCACCCCTGACTGGCCCCGCCCCCATCTATTCTCTGCCTCCCAAGTCCCAGCTGATCGGGAGGGAATGGGGATTTTGCAGTATCCTTCTCCTGCCACATCCACGCCCACAGAACCGGTAGTAAAAAAAATGTGAGTCCCATTGCTGGGTTGGAAGATAATTGCAATAACTTTTTTAGGGTGGAAATGGATCCTGGGAGCTGCCAAAATTAACTGAGTTAATTTAAATGTCTATCTTGCATAGGAAAATTGAAATTAATTAATACAATTAATAGAGATTGGATGAATTTGCACATCATTTTAAGTGATAATATATAGTAGTTCATTTGATTTTGGGTTAGTGTGATAGATGAACTGAGCTGCTGTAGCTTATATTTATATTAGGATCTGACAGAACACTAAGATGTTATGCTGAACTTCCCCCTCAGCTCTTGATAAAAATGCATCATTGAAAACCCTTGAAGAAATTTAGACGTAATGAGACAAGAGGTCCTTCTATAAATCACTAATTGGTTAAAAACGTTTAGGATGAAGGTTAGAATAAATGGATAGCTTTCACAACAGAGAGAATTAAGATTCTTTATACCGTACTTTTTGGAATATAAGATGCACTTTTTGGCCACTAAAAGAGGGTGAAAATATTGGTGCGTCTTATGCAACAAATACAGCCATTTTTAGTCTCTGGAAACCCCGCCCTGTGCCTCCCGGCTTGTTTTTCGCAGAAATGGGGCACGCAGAGGGTTTGGGAGGCCTGCAAAGTGCTCCTAGGGGTTGGAGAGGGCAAAAATGCGATGCACGGGGGGTTTGGGAGGTGAAAAACTGTCCCATTTTTCACAGAAATTGAGGTGTTTTTGCCCTCTCCAGCCCTCAGGAGTACTCTGCAGGCCTCTCAAACCCTCTGCGCACCCCATTTTTGTGAAAAACCATTTTTGGCCTTCCAAACTCCACTGATAGTGCCGTTTGTGCTCTTCCCAGCCCCCAGGAGCACTCTGCAGGCCTCCCAAACCGTCTGCGTATGCTTGGTTTTGTGAAAAACAGAACACTCAGAGGTTTTGGAAGGCTTGCAGAGTGCTCCTGGGGGTCAGGGAGGACAAAAACTTTTTTTCTTGTTTACCTCTTCAGAATCTTGGTGCTTCTTGTACTCTGGTGCGTCCTATAGTCTGAAAAATATGGTAAATCCCAAGCACTCAGATTGCGATCATGTGACTGCGGATTGCAACATTTTATGATTGCTATAAGAGCTTTATTGGCCATAAAGCACCCTTTTCAAAAGCATCTATAATTCCAGACTGTTGTTAAACACAGTTTTGACTCAAGGACTATCTATACATCTGATTTATAGGATTTTTCTGTTGGTTTTTACAGATTAATCAGAACTGTTAATCAGAACATGGCAAACAGACATTCTAGATGCCAGTAGTGATAGCTGATACCTGAAATTTTGGAAGATAATTTCCATTTTGAAAATTATCTTAGCATTTTATTTATGTGCTTGGATTGTCTGGGTTGCCTTTCAGTGAAGGTGAACCTGTAGATCCGAAACTAAGGTTTACCATGATGGTCCTTAAATTACCTTACTGGATGCGAAGATTCCTATCCTGGATTATGAGACCAATAGTAAGTAATATCTCTTACTTTATTTATCTGGAGCACGGTTTCCCAACCTATATTCAGTTATCTGTGCCTGTGTTATTGGGGAGTTCTAATGTGACATGGCACTCTCGCACAACATTCCTATAACTTCCATTCCCTCAAACATTTCACCCCTATTAGTAAGAATTACGTTCAGTATAGCTGACCCATTAATTCTCTGCTCCACATTTTGAATGACAGATTTGTCAGGTAGTCACATCAGAAACTCCCAGTCACTGCAGTTTGTCTGCCAGTTTTCATGGGCGATGGTGGACTGGAACTATGGGTCTCCATAATGCTAGTCTGTGATTTTAACCACTACCCATAACTGTGAATATTCTAGCTTTAGCATTTTCATAATTAATATAATGAAAGTCATATAGAGTATATCAGGCTGCATTGAAACAACTGAGCCCCCTTTATCTTCAACCTTCCAAGTGGGTTGGGAATATTGTTCTCCAGCCAGGGAAGGCTAAGGAAGTAGATTTGTGCTTCTTGGACTAGTTTGGTTTCATTCTAAGATTTTGGTGAAGTATAATATCAAAGAATCTTTACCACTTAATTTTACATCAACCCCAAATAAGGCATTTTCCATTTATTTTTCCTTAGATTCCTCGTTATTCAAGAACTATGAGCAACATCAAAGACAGGTAAATACTGTATTTTTCGGAGTATAACATGCACCTAGATTTTGGGGAGGAAAACAAGAGAAAAATATCTGTCTCTGCCTCTGAGCAATTTGTCTCCTTGCAAAAAAACAGTACGGACAATATACACTGTTTGTAGTGTTATATTTCAGACTATACTTGTACAGATGCTGTTAAAATTTATGTGCTTTCTGGAAGTATACCGTATATACTCAAGTATAAGCCGAGTTTTTCAGCCCACTTTTTGGGCTGAANCTCCACAAAAGAACATGCCAAAATCTTGATCCTAATACATGAATGGATTTCTTTTGAATTTTGTCTCGCTCGTAAATTAATTGGGTCATCTTTTGGAAACTTCACATGTTTCTCTTGTTGCCCATGTATTATTGCGGTTAAAGCTGAAAGTAGTCATTGACAGGTAGGATGTTGTAGCAGGCAATTTTGTGTACTATGCTTAGGTCAGACTGGCATAGTTCCAAGTTGTCCAAGCCCAACATTTCAAGTCTGGAAGTGTAAGGTATATTGTGAGCAAAGGAGTGAAGTACTCTACTTGTGAAATATCTAGCTGGACTCACTCGATTGATGGTTGCACATGTTCCAAGGTCATGTGATCCCCTTTTGCAACCTTCTGACAAGCAAATGGTGGTGCCAGATTCACTTAACAACAGTTTGACTAATTTAATAACTACAGTGATTCACTTAACAACTGTGACAAGAAAGTTCATAAAATGGAGCGAACGCTCCATTTATCATATGAGCAGTCAATTTTATTTAAAACCCATTCAAGAAATGTAAACAAATTATGACTTTTTGCATTGTGTGAACCTGTCCAAAGACCCACAAAACCTGTTATCAAGACTTGGCCTGGCAATTAATACAACATATAAGGCAGAAGATTACATTATAAATGTTAGGCAGATGTTCCTTCTAAATACATATATTTGCCGTTCAGAATGTTCTTGATACTGTAGGGACCACATAGCATGCCCTATGATTGGAAATCTGCCTAAATAACTTCAGATGGCTAAAGAATCAGTGGGAAAAAGTGGGGGGAGCCAGTGTATGCAGGTGTACGAGTGTGTGTTTATGTGGGTTGTGTATGCATGCACGCGCACGCACGGGCAGTGCTGAAAATTCTAAGGTCAAAAATTCTGCCTATTAATGGAAATGTTTGCTCTAAGGATTCCAATCTGTACCACCAATTATCTGTAATTTAAACATTACACAAAAGGACACAAAATTGCCCGTGGTGATTATTCTTCAAAGAAAGTACTATGCTTCTTTATTTATATAAACTTTAGATGAATTCAATTCCCTTCCTTCCTATCCCCTTCCTTTTTGAATTGTATTATAAGCCTTTGGGTATGCGTCTCATCACATGTATGTATATATGTACAGTATGTATTTTTGGGAGTATAAGATGCTCTGAAGTATAAGACGCACCTAGATTTTGGGGAGGAAAACAAGGGGAAAATATCTGCCTCTGCCTCTCAGCAATTTGCCTCCTTGCAACAAACATTACAGACAATATACACTGTTTGTAATGTTATATTTCAGACTATACTATACTATAGATGCTGTTAAAATTGATGTGCTTTCTGGAGGTATAGTTATTCTCTGCTATTTAAAAGAATAGCACTTTTTAAAACAATAGCAGGGGGCCTCTTCAGATCAAGCATTTATTTTAAAAAGCTTCTTCATTTTGTTAAGTTGTCTAGAACAATAATAAAGCAGTCTTTAAAAAATAAGTCTAATAATTTGAACATTCTATAGGCATTTATAGTTGTCGACTTACCTCCTTGCAGCAAGCAACCTGATTAGCACAAGAAGAAAAAAATCTGCCTCCCAGCAATTTGCCATGTGGAGCAAACAGCTAGTTTCACTTTCAATTTCTCCCAATCATTAGCTGTTACAGGCTGCAGGGATTGCTATAGTTCAGTGATACCAACCCTTTTTGGCTCACCTGCCATGAGCGGGGTGAGCGCAGGGGGGTCATGTGTGGGTGTCCCCTACCCATTATGCAATGCACGACCCCCTCAGCATGCATGCACACATGACAGGCGCAAACCCCCCATTTTTGGCATGCTTTTTTTACCCTCCCCAGGCTCCAGAGGCTTTATAAGAGCCTGGGGAGGGCGAAAACAGCCCCCACAACCCTTCGGGGGCCCTCTGGAAGCTTCAGGAGCTTCCCTGAAGCCTCTGGAGTGCAAAAAAACCAGCCCTACGGGCAAACCTGAAGTTCAGAAGTGGACTTCCGGTTTGCTCCTAGGGCTGGTTTAAGTCCTCCAGAGCCTCTGGTAAATTTCTGGGATGCAGAGGCCAAAGGATTGGGGCTGGTGGGTGGGTGGGGCTACATTCAGTGTATAAGATGCACCCAAATTTTCACCCTCTTTTAGGAGGTGAAAGGTGCATCTTATACTCCGAAAAATACTGTATGTATGTATGTATGTATGTATGTATGTATGTATGTATGTGGCTACTCATCTGAAGTAACTCAGGTTGGCTCACAACAACAAAAATATTTTAAGGATGATGATCATCCAGTCCCTTGAACAAAAAGGATAAATGAAACTTTACAAATAATGTTACTCCTAAAGGGACATATACTTAAATGAAAGCTTCTGTATTATTTTAAATTTTCAAACTGGTTTCCACGTTATACTATTTTTGCCAGTGAAACAGTAAATTGGGTTACTCTTCTTTCTAGTTAATGCAGAATAAACCTGGAGGAAGTTAGACTGCCATAAAGAGGCCTACAATAGGGTATTTAATAGTCTACACCAGTGATAGCTAACTTTTTTCTAAAGGCGTGCCAAAATTGTGCACACGCATGCCCCATCCACAAGTGCATGCATGTGTGCCCCACCACCTGCGCATGCCTGTGTGACCATCTGTGCATGCCCATGTGACACACACACACACACACACACACACACACATGCAGGCGAAAATGGCCTCCCCCCAGTCAGAAATGAACTTCTGGTAGATCCATTGGGCCTGTTTTTTGCCCTCCCCATGCTCCGGAGGCTTTCCTGAAGCCCGGGGAGGGCAAAAAACAGGCCCAACAGGCCAACTGGAAGTTTGGGAACGAACTTCCATTGGCCTGTTGTGCCTGTTTTTTACCCTCCCCAGGCTCTGGAGGCTGGGAGAAAATGGTCTCCCCCAGGCCCCCGGAGACCCTCCGGAAGGCAGAACCATTCGGTTGGCCCGTTGAACCTGTTTTCCACCCTCCCAAGGCTCCGGAGGCTTTCCTGAAGCCTGGGGAGGGTGAAAAATGGCCCAATGGCCCAACCAGTTTTGAAATGATCTATTTCTGCCTTCCAGAAGCCCTCCAGGGAGCTGGGGGAGGCCGTTTTTGCCCTCTCCAGATTTCATGAAAGCTTCTGGAGCCTCGGGAGGGTTCTCAGAAGTTCTGGTTGACTCATTGGGCCTGTTTTTCATTCTCCCCAGGTTCCGAAGGCTTTCCTGAGGCCTGGGGAAGGCGAAAAAGGCCAAAATTAGCTGGCCAGTGCATGCATGTACAGCAGAGCTGAGGGCTTCTGTGCCGGCAAATATGGCTTCGCGTGCCACCTGTGGCACGTGTGCCATAGGTTCGCCATCACTGGTCTATACTATGTATTAGGACATTTTATTTGGTGCAGGAATGCTGTGCATAGCTGGACTCCAATAATAGCGTTAGCATTCGGCATACATCTTGAGTTCAGTATGGAATTGCAGACCTCATGGTTGAAATATCTGGATGTATTTCACGATTCCCTTGCTTCCTCCTTGTCCTGCTCCTGCTGTAATATTTTGCCCAGTAAATTTGATGAGCATTTTATATCCCACTTAAGGTTAGATTATCTCTCCCTTTATTGGTATTCTGGATGGTGCTGACGACTTAGCTTTCACATTGTGCGCAGTGATGCAGATATGAAGATTTTGGAATGGTTATGTTAGTCTTATGCTGTTCACCAGATAGACTGTACTACAGGTTAGGATTTTAATGGCTTTTAACCCTGGTGGCTCAGGGTTAAAACCCATTGAAAGCACCAAGCCCTGGTGTCACAGTGGTTAAAATGCAGTATTGCAGTCAAACTCTACCCACATCCTGGAGTTCGATCCTGACCAGCTCAAGGTTGAGTTAGCCTTCCATCCTTCTGAGGTTGGTAAAATGAGGATCCAGATTGTTGGGGGAAATAATCTGGGCAATAAACCATCCAGAGAGTACTGTAAAGCACTATGGGGCAGTAAATCTAAGTGCTANCAGCAATTTGCCATGTGGAGCAAACAGCAAGTTTCACTTTCAATTTCTCCTGATCATCACCTGTTACAGGCTGCAGGGATTGTTATAGTTTATTGAAGCCTCTGCAAGCCCCTTTTGCTGCAGAGGTAAATTGCTTGGAGGCAGAGGCCAAAGGGTTGGGGCCGGTGGATGGGTGGGTAGGGCTACATTCAGTATGTAAGGCGCACCCAAATTTTCACCCTCTTAGAGGAGAAAAAAGTGTCATATTCCGAAAAATATGGTATTTTGTTGGGAGATTAAGGCCTCCCTTAGTGAGTGAGTATAGGAAAATTTATGTTTACCAGAAGGGATTTCTTTTTTTAAAAAATTACGTTTTATTTCTACTGATGCTTTTTACAAATATTTCTTGATCTCCATATCAATGAACTCAGTAACTGTTGCTTTATTTTGCCAAAGTTAATGTGATAACTTTACTGCCATTAATATACAAAATGTTTGTCTAGTCTGGTGCCCAGGTAAGTTTTCAATTCCATTCTGCCCAGAGGAATTAAGTCAGCATAGCTGTATAGCACCAGGTTGGGGGAAGCTATTACAGGTCATGAACATAGGCTGCCAATTCCATGCATCAGCTGTTCATTTATTTTCTTTGACTTTTTAGGTCTGTAAAAGAACTCTGGAAATGTCACACGGAAATTGAGGTAAATTTTAGAATCTTTTCAAACCATAAAAATCTTATACATGTAAATATTTTCTGAGGCATTCGAGAAAATAGCATGGTCTTTTTCAGCGTCAGACTACAGATTTAAAGCATTCTTTAAAAATTACTGCATAATAGCAAAATGCAATGAGTCTTGAGATCATTCTTCTATAGTCTTATGCCTCCCCAGTTGCATTAGACACTAGAATAGATGTTGGAAAGTAAAATATTTGAAGGATGCCAAATCAGTTAAAGGTGGCCTTGTTGCAAATGCTGCCTTTGTGGATATTCCATGATAAAGAACAGTGCTGACTTTCCTACGTGGGAAACTATTCTGTCCTTTAAATAACTGTTTTAAGTTCAATATCAGATGGTTGCATACAAAGATTTGTGGTGTCTGCAGAAAATTTTTTGCAGGGGAAGAGCAGAAGCTAAAATATGAGTTTGTAATTTGTCCATTTCTCATGTCCTGCTTTGCAGCTACACAAACTTGTCTATTTTTCTTGTACTTATGCTGGTGCTCAATGTAATTTTCTGTGACAGAAATATATATAGTCCTCACTTTACTACTGGGACCAGAAACTGTTATCATTAAGTGGTATAGTTGTTAAGCAAAGCATCATATAGCTGTGTTGGATTTGTATCATCTTGAGTATGGTCATTAAGTGAATCACCACAGGTGGTTAACTGAGACATCACATGGATGTAACTTGTAATTTCACTCCTGGCTTCCCCGCTGACTCTGTGTTGGAAGCCAACTGTGAAGTGCACAAATGGGAATCATGTGACCAAAGGACACTGCCTGTCATAAATGCCTGCCAGTTTGCCAATTGCAAAGCACCTGAATTTTGATCATGTGACCTTGGAGGCACTACAACAGCTATTTTTCAGTGTCATTGCAATTTTGAATAGTTGTTAAACAGAGCAGTCATTAAACAATTACTACCTGTACAGTTTAGCATTTTCAAGAATGTGTTGGATTGCTAGTTGAACATTAAATCAGGAAAATATTCTTTCTTTTTTTAAACAATAATAATAATATAATTGTATTGTAATATAATAAAATACTATTGCATTGTAAGTCGGCCATCTAGTAACCTCATCTCCCTGGTGTTTCAGTGTGAAATACTGAGGTTGTTACCTGCCTTACTAAATTTAGAATTTCTTGTAAAGAAATCCATTGTTGAGCTATTGATAATATTTGGGGGTGGGGGATGTTCTCTACTCAGTGGCTCTGTGCAGTCTGTAGGGGCTGTGCTTTTACTTTGGGGATGGGGAGAAAAAGACCAGACTTTTGACTCTGTGTATTTTCAGAAGGGCAGCTTGGGATGATGAAATAACAGTTCAAATCTAAGGATTACATTTTAAAACAGTCTGATTCAAGAGCTGAAAGAAGAAAAAGACATTCATGCTTAATTCCCAGGAGACTGGATTCATGTTGTTCATTCATAAAATAGTTGCTCAAAGAATAGCAACTCAGAAGCCCACCTTTGCTGTGCAATCTGTCTTCTTGCCCCTACCATATGTCCGCTGTATTTTTTGGATGCCAGGTTTATAGATTGAACAATAAAGTAACCCTAATATGTCAATTGATCTTTTATCATTAGAAATATATCAGAGAATTCACTGAAGAATGGAAAAGATTGGAACTGGATGTGCTGCTTTGTCCTGCTATAGGTCCTGCTTTTAAGAATGGGTTTGCTTCAAAACTACCAGGTAATTTTTTTAAAAAACTTGGAAAACCAAGTTTTAAAAAGCATGTTGGTATTCTTTGCCCATGGAGTGTCCTACTCCTATTCAACCAGATGTGAGTAAATCCTAGGGCTGTGATGTGCTTTGAGGTTGGGCAAAGGGTTCATGGGATAACACAGGGGGGAGCAAATATGGTGCTTGTTTGCAACTCTTTGAACCCAACACACCTTTTCTACGGCTCTCCTGTCCCTAGGAAAAGGGGTGGCTGCTTTAAAGAGCTTGCACTTTTAAATCTGAAGCACTGCACAACCATAATATACTCCTGTTATGGATCTTGCCACATTCCATGCATAGTTCCATCCTGGCTTACAAGCAAAAGAGTTCACATTGGCATGTTTCATGTTGATGTTAAGGATCTTATCTCATTAACAATTTATAAGAAGCAAATATATAGCTGTCTTGTTAAATGTCTGTCTAGTCAAAAACCTTCATCTGGGGATGACCAAATCATTCCTTATGGAATCATAATGTTCGATCTTGCTTTTCCATCAGTTAAGAGCCAATTTAAAAGCTGATGGATGACAGTTTTCCTTCACTCATCCTTCACAAACTAGTACACATTCATTCTTTTGAGAATATATAACTAAAATTTTTGTGACAGTTCAGAAAGTATTTTTAAAATTCTTCTTAAATAGACTGCAGACTTTGGGAATCTGATTTAACAATACAGTCTTTAAGGTAGTCAGATGATCATCAGCAGTTGTTGAGAAGGTGGTGGCGCTTCAACTCCGACAGACCTTGAATGAAGCAGATTATCTAGACTCCTTTCAGTCTGGTTTCAGGCCTGGGTACAGCACAGAAACCACTTTGGTCGTACTGACCGATGATCTCTGGCGGGCCAGGGATAGAGGACATTCCTCTATCCTGATGCTTCTTGACCTCTTAGTGGCCTTCGATACCATTGACCATGGTATCCTTCTGCGACGGTTGGAGGAGGTGAGAGTGAGAGGCACCTTTTTACG